GAAAGCTGGTCCTTCAGACTACAACCTCAGCCGCACCCCAGGGGTGCCCCTCCTGCTTCTCTTATCCACTACATCCCAGTTTGGGACCCTTGGAGCTGGCAGGCTAGGTGGCAAGGATGTCCATAAAGAAGGTAGCCACTGTTCTAATATTGATTCCACCACCTCCCGTCACGGGCTTCAATTTCCTCTATTTCAAGTAAGCAAGCTACTTGGGGACTCCCCTGACCCCAACAAGCCCCATCCTGCAGCAGGGCCACAGCTGCTTTCCTGTGCCAGAGATGCTGTCAGAAGTGTCAGCTTCCCCTGCTTTGGGCTATTACCAGGCTCTGTCCTGATGACGAGAAGCTTAGTTTGTCAGTTGTTGATAGCAAACAATTCCATTCTATGAAAAGGACAGTAAATAATGCCTTAAAATGGAATTGTTTATGGGACAAAAAATAGTTAAAGAGACGTGGTGGCAAATGATTGCGAAAGATAAAGATGGGCCCTATTCTATGAGGTCTTCCAGGTTTGACCTAAGAACTTGAGCTTGTGGGCATGAGGCCTGGCCTCCTTTCCCAATATAAGAAAGATACTTGTTACCTTTCCTAACCCTTTCGCATTCTCGCTTGGCCAGCTCTTTCTCTAACCCCACCCCTGTCCCAAGCACCCTAGTGATTGCACATGGCAGAAGCAGACACATGGGGAAACAGATTCTAGGCTGCCATTGTCTGGCTGTAACTGACCTCTCTGAGCTTCCATGGTCTCATCTAAGAACCCCAATATTTAGGGTTGCTGTGAGAATTAAATAACGAGCAGCTGTAAAGTGTTGGTCTCAAGGTGAAAGTCAGTAAATACTGGTTGCTCCCCACCTTGCCCACTCCTCATCTCCCATCACTTCTATTAAATGGTTACAGCTTCCATCCTGGAGCATGAAGATGCTTTCTGCAAAAATGACCCCAAGACCACAGGGGGAGAGAAGCTGGGACACGAGGACTCCTGTTACCATGAGTCATAAGCTAAGCTTTTTCATCAGAGTTCATCTGTAAGGCAGGAGCACGTGCTAGAGCCATTCCACTCACCTGGAGAGAGGCTCAGAGACCTGGAGACAACATAATGCCCAATAATAGGGGATCAGTTAGTTAAAGTATGATATGTGCACAAAAGAAAAGTGTACATCCCTTAAAATGATGGTGTATATGGCTCTTAGTTTCTGACATGAAACTTCATCACCATTTATTATCAAGTGAAAAAATAATCTCACAATATATGTTCAAAACAGAGCATATACTGTAACATTTTTTGGAGAAAAATAATCTCAATTTTAACTCTTATCAATCCCTAAACATATGAAAAGATAAATGCCAAAGGATTCATGGTGATTCTTCCTCAGTTGAAAGATTGTGGCTTTTTGCCTGTTTTTCTTTCTTTGTTACTATAAGGATTAATAATTTTAAAAGCAAAACTACTCTGAGGATGACCTCTGTGGTTTTTGCAGTCTCTTCTGAGCTGGCATTCAACGACCTGGCACATCATGGCTCTCTCTCATGCTGGATTAGGGACTCTGTGATTGAGCATCTCACATTTCTCTGGCCTAACGAACTACATCCTTTTCTGACCTTGAAACTCACATGGATAGAGACAGAAATGCATCTATCCTTTAAAACATTTTTTCCACTTAATTCATTGCATTATCAAAAGCTTTTATCAAGCTTTTATAAAAACTGTTCTTGTTCTGCTGCCCAGTTAGGTTTTGGGGGTGGGGGACTCTCAGCAGCCACAGCCATGCACCCTCTGTGTGAACTTGGCTTGGACAAGCCAGTGGGAAAGTAAGCAGCATAGTGATGTAAGCCCTCTATCGTTCCCATTCCAGAGCACATCTTGCTGGCGGGGTACATCAGACCCTAGAAGTACACCCCTGACTCAGACGATGTAACATGGAAGGCTTAAACTGGTCTCTGAGATGGATGGAACCAGCTACCCTCAACCCAGCGCTAGTGCCTGGAGCTTCAGCAGCTGCAGGCTGGGATTAGTTTCTTGCTCACCCCACACAGTACCCAGCCCACAACAGAACCAAAGTTGACACTGGATAAACTTGGGCAATTCCATTAAACTGTAACTGCTTCCTCTTTTATAAACAGGAAACTAGGAGAATATCTGCTCCTCTTATTAACTCCCTAACCTCAGGCAAACTTTTTGGGCCTCAGTTTCCTTATCTATAAAATGGAGGTAGTAACACAACTCTCCTCATGGGATGGGAGCTCTGTTTGGCATATTGGGTATTCAACACATTATTTCCATTCTGCTTACTAAAGTGCTTTAAAACTACAAAATGCCTTGCAAATATGAATTACTCTTTTTCTATCCAGGGATCCCATTTCAGAGAACCAACTCTATTTTATTGGCTGAGAGTTTGTGTAATACACAAAACTAACAATAATCATAATTATCTTTAGTGGGTGTCTATGAAATGCCAGGCCCTATGCCTATTTTACACATCTATCATGGGAGCTATAGACCTTATTGCTCCCATTTCATAGATGAGAAAACTGAGGCACAGAGAGGTTGAGCTTTTTCCAAACCATGGAGCTAGGTGGAAGAACAGCCAGGATTTCACAGACAAGTCCAAGGCTTCTCTCCTGAATCCAGGACCCTCTGAAATTTGGCCCCTGCATCCTGGGCAGGCCTCTTAGGAAGGGCTTTGTTACCTAAAGATTGAGAGTGGGAGGGGGGATTCTTGAGATGAGGCCCCCTCCTCCATTCTTCACAGCACCCAAGTCTCAGGATTCTGATCCATTGTGGCCCTTCTCTGAAGCTGTGTGCCTTTTGTTTTCCTCTCTTTCATAACTCAGTGTTCCCACCCCTGCCTGAGGTTCAGGTAGGCAGCTCAGCACATGCCGCAGGCCTTTAGGGCTCCGGGAAAACAAAAAAAGACTACATGTGTGATCCCTCACTCTCCACCCCTCTCCAGGACCTTGCTCCTTCTTGAGGTATGAGCACTGCCCTTGTGTTCCTGCATGCATGAGCACACACCCATGCACATATCCACTAGTGGACATCACATGATGGGGGGTGTCAAACACACATGGTACTGTACAGATGTCTTCACTGTGTTTTTTAATTTTTCCTGTATAGGAAATTTAACTCTTGAATCACCCCCACTCCTGCCTCCATCCCCAGCCACATTTACTAGAAGACCATTTTATGAGAGGAAAGATCTGGTAGTGTTCATTCTAACGTGTCAGGCAGAAAAGAGAAGCCCTTATTCCTCATGAAACTCATTTTCCAGTCTTTGGGGCTATACATGACTGCCTGAAGCTGTCTGAGTAGCGTTCTCCAGGTCAGGTCACTGGGTGGCCAGGCTCCAGGCACCTGTACTACTTGGAGCCTGGTGTCCCAGTTGCCTAAATCATCAAGGGTTGCACCCTCCATCAGGTTGGCTACCTGTGAGTCACACCAAATCATCATAGAACATTCTTTTACCTGGAGGATTTGTCTCAGATACTTAACAAGGAGTGTTTGGCCCCTGGCCTCACTGACCTGCCCTGGCCCACTGAATAAAACTGTAAGCCCGAGATTGGGGCAACAGGACAAAGGGGAAAGAAATGCTCCACAATGTTGATAATTCTGATGGCAGGAGCCACAAAAATTCCAGGTCCTTTAGTCAATGACTGTCTATGCTTTTGTTGAGATACTTCCCCTACCACCTCCTCCCTTAGGAGGAGACAGGAGAAGGTTCCCTATGCTTCTTGTCCCAAAGCCAGTGAAGGCGTCAGCCATCTTCTTTCTCATTCTTCATTTCCATTCCTGGCAAAAGAGGAGTGCGGAAGAAATCCATCAGAGCCTTCCCTGCCCAAATCTCCCCAAGTACAGGGGTTCTGAGTGGGGCCAGCACTGGGCCAAGGGGATATGCAGAGGCCCCAAAGTCCCTCTAGTCTCCCCAATTTCAGCTGCCCCCCCAGACCAAACACTTGCAGATCACAGAACTGTCTGTCCCCTCCTGTTGACCAGTGAACACCAAGGTTCTTACTGCTTAATACAGATCTTAGAGAAGCTGGCATCTCCAGGAGGCACTGGGTTTTGGGGTCAGCTGGGGCATCTCATAATGGGTGGTTCTAATTCCTCCAAAGAGGACTGCAGTTGGAGGCCATTTTCTCATTTTAAATATGATGGGTCCCCTTCCCCCTCCCGGAAGCAACAAGGAGTCTTCTTTGAGGGCGACTCATCTACCCTCCATAAGGGTGTAGGCAAAACAAGACCTTAGATGGGGATTTGGGTCTTACTAAAATTTTAAGTAGCTCTAGTTTCCCCACTCTCTCACCCGCGCAAGTGAATTCTACTTTTTTCATTCTCCTAATGTCCTGTTTTCCTCTTTTTGGACTCAGTTCACTGATCCCCTCCCCACATCCAGTCTCACGGAAGAGACTCAGATTTCCAAAGATTTAATTAATCGCACCAACTGTCAGGCCGCCCAAAAGGACCCGCCTCCGCTGTCATTGTAGAAAACAGTTCCTTTATCCTTTCGTGGCTTGGTCTCCGGTGTGGAGCCCTGTATCTGCTCGCACCGCACCCCAGGAAGCCCTCAAAGGAGCTATATTTTTTCTGGACGGGCTTAAAGGGCTCCCCACTAGGGTACATGCCTCCCTCCACCCCGCGCATTCCAACCCCCAACACACACACCCACAGGCGCCAGTGGGAAGTCGCAGGATGTACGACGGCTGGGGTTTTATTACAAAAATTTCTTTTCAAATGCAAAATCAGACCAACAAGCTCGGAGACTCCCATTCTTCAACCTCTCCCCTGCGCCGCCCGTGTCCTGTCCCCCATTAACACGCACAAAACTCCCACGCGAGCGACTTCAGCCCCACAATGCATCCCACATTCAAGTCCACCCAGCCCCGAACTTCTTAAAAAAAAAAAAAAAAAAAAAGTCTGTTAAGAAACCTTATCCCCCCGCTGAAGCGCACAGGACCGTGCAGAGCGTGGAAGTCCCTTTCCGCGCCGCCGCCGCGAGTCCCGCGGTGTCCAGGCACTGGTGCCCGGAGGCATGTTGCTGTCCCGGCGCGGCGGCGGCGGCCGAGCGGAGAGGGGGACGGGGGTCCCGGTCTCCCTTTTCGCAGCAGCTCTGTCGAAGGCGGCAGGCGTGGTGCTCAATACAGCCCCAGGATGGCGGCGCCCACGTCCTTGGAGGGCCGCCGCTCTTGCACCAGAAAGTTGATCATGCCTTCGGACTTGATGAGCAGGTTGCAGCCCAGGAAGAAAACGCCGAAGACCACGGTGAGCGACAGCACGCATACCACGGCGATCTGCGCCACGCGCGACACCCACAGGCTGCGTTCGTCTGGAGCCAGTCCCGCCGGGACCCCGTCGCTGGCGGCCAGCGGCGCGCCCCCGGAGCAGCAGTCTAGCCACGTGCCCAGCCCGTGACTGCGGTTCCCCAGGGCCGCCCCGGCGCCGCTGCCCACTCCGCCCACCTCATCCAAGCTGGTGTGGTTCAGGAAAGTCGCGTTCATCGCGGCGCTGCGCCCGGGGTCTTGGCGCGCGGTCCAGGGTGCACCGGGAGGCTGGCTCTGTTCGCGCTCTCCGGGACGCTCTGGCGCGGGGTGGGGGAGGAAGAGGGCTGCCCACGCGATGGCACCCTCTCGGGCCGCCTACCGCTGGGCACCGGGCAGGAAGCGGCACAGGGAGGGAGCAACAGGCGGCGCGGGAGCGGGAGCCGGAGAACCGAGAGCGTAGCGGTGGTCGGTGGAGCTCCCAGCGGCCCGGCCGCCCCTCCCCTCCAACGGCCCCGCCCCGCCCCGCCCCGCCTGGCGTCTAGAGGGCGGGAATCCAGGCGAGGGCTCAGCCTCCGGAGTCCCACCGCTGCTGGGGGCTGGGATCCCGCGGCAGTCCCCAGTCCTAGGGCCAGCGAAGGTTGACCGCCTCTGGGCTAGAATATCTCCCCAAGGTGCTTATTCCAGGATTTGGTGCTCTTAGCGGTCGAGTTCTTCTGGAGTCTGCCCTAAATCTCGTCTTATCTTTTTCTTTAAACCAGGGTAGGCCTCTGGCAGTTCCGCATCGCCTCTGCGGGAACCTCCCAGCTTTTCCCCGGACTGGAGAAGTGTTGCATTGAGGAGTGTACCCTGCTTCCTTTCCTACATCTCCCCTACCCTGCCCCATTTAATTTTTTAAATTAAAAATAAGCTACTGGAGTTTTTCTTTTTACAAAAATGTAGTCATTGTAGACCGGTCATAACGCATGGATTAGCAAAATGAAAAAAAAAAATCTAAAACCTTATAATCTTACCATCCAACGAGGGTCGATGTCACCTTGGTACAAACTCTTCAGGCCTTTTCTATTGTGAGGGTCTGTATACATATATTCGAAGGGTGGGGAGGTGCGGTGTTGGTGCATACTGTTTGGTGCAGCAGGTATCTGGCCTTTTGGCCAGTTGGATTTTTTTTCTTAGAGAAATGCTGGGTTATGTCCTTTGCTCATCTCACTGCTGAGAACAGATCCTGACCTTTATGTACCCTGAAGTCTGGCTCCCTGCTGCAAAGAAAGGGAGCAGGGAAGGGTGACTAGGGTATGGTAAGGGGACAACCTACTCCAGTGAGTCATGAGGAGCTGAACGTGATGGCTGGTCTTTGTTTTATTAAGTTCCTACTATATGGTCAGTACACTAAATACATTACCTCGCTGGATGCTTGAATCAGCATTTGAGTTTCGGCTGGACTGTTCCCTTGACATGAGGAATCAGGGGCTAAGGTTGTTTAGTTGACTTACCCAGGACCACATAGCCAGGTAAGCCTCAGCTCTCTCCTGTTCCAAAGCTACACTCTTAATTATTGCTGTTCCCCTTTCTTCCATTGTCCCTGAACTGGTTTCTCTTGATACCTGGTGATCGGGGGAAGGGAGAGGTGTTGTCTTTGACCTGGAGCAGGAAGGGAGAGAGAACTTGGGTTTATGGGAGTAAATGAAGACTAGCCACAGAGAACAAGCCTAGGCAATTTAATCAGAGCTTGCTGAGAATCTCTTGTAAGAGTCAGCCACTGTCACTTGTGTTTTGCAGAGACTCAAAGGCCGGTGGATAAGTGGGAAGCTTTATAATAGGAAAAAAGAGACAGCTTCAGGCATGCCCTGGTTGGGGCCTGTTGGCATGGGGAAGCTGTAGGGGGCTCCCTAGAAGAGGGGCATCCATGACATTGGTTAGGGGAACATACTTGCTTTCTCCAATTTATGCTAATTTTGGAATTAGGGACAAAATTATGCAAGCTGTCCATGATTGACCAAGTTCGAGCCATTTGGGACTAGTAGCTGTTTGGCTTCCCAGACTTTTATTGCAGGTTCCTGGTCCATGCTCTGTTTTCACATGTGGTCTGGTCACTGTTTGTAGATTTGGTGTCTCAGGCTCCTCCACATCAGGAGTGGGCACCCTGCCTGGCTTGAACCCAGCCACCTGCTCCACGTCCCGTGCTCCCTCCTTCTACTGCTCCCTTCTGCCGTTTCTGGAACCACCGGTCCCAGCAGGTGTGGTTGCAGTTTGACATATATTAACTCTTCACTCTTACAATTTCCCTGAAAGGCAAGTGTGTGTTAGTTGTTGACTGCTGCGGCTCAGATTTCCCCAAACCAAGCAAACGTTTACCCTCGCTCATAGTTTCTGGGGCCAGGAAGCTGAAAGCAGTTTAGTTGGGGGCTCTGGCTCAGGATCCCTCATGGGGCTGTGGTCAAGGTGTTGACCAGGTCCATAGTCATCTGAAGCCTTGACTGGTGTTGAAGATGGGTTTTTGAGATCACTCCCTTGCTGGGTGTTGGCAGTAGGCCTCAGTGACTAGTTGGCCATTGGCAGAGGAAAACCTAGGTCCTTGTCATTGTACTTCTCCATGGTGCTACTTCAGTGTCCCCATCACATGGCAGCTGCTTTGCCTCAGAAACACTCTTTTCACTTTCCTTCTCTTCCTTCTCCTCCTCCTTCTTCTCCTTCCTCCCCTCCCCCTCCCTCTCCCCTCCCCCTCCTTCTTTCTCCTTCTCCTTCTTCTTCTTCTCCAGTACTGAGGATTGAACTCAGGGGCACTCTACCACTGACCGACATCCCCAGCCCTTCCTTTACTTTGTATTTTAATATAGGGTCTCACTAAGTTGCCAAGACTGGCCTTGAACTTGCTATCCTTTTTCCTCAACAACATCCCCCACTCCCGTATCACTTTTTTTTTAACTTTATTTTATTTATTTATTTTAATGTGGTGCTGAGAATCGAACCCAGGGCCTCACACGTGCTAGGCAAGGGCTCTACTGCTGAGCTACAACCCCTGCCCTCCCCAACCCCATGTCACTCTTGAAGAATGTGCTAGAATGTGAGGAAAAGAGAGGGATGGAACAGTAAGGCTGCAGAATGAAATTTGTTAGCTGTAGTTGTTATTTAATCTTTATAGAAAGCCTTGTAAAAAAAAAAAAATCCTCAGTCCCATTTGACAGTCAAGAAAAATGGAGATTCAGAAAGGAAAAAATCTTGCCCGAAGTCACAGAGAGCCAGTAAAGGGCACAGCCAGGATTTAAACCATCAGATATCTTACAACCAAGCCCAAACTCTTCAGTGCTTGGTGTGTGGGGGTGGGTATATGTGTGGGGGGAGTACTTCATGGTTAGGGAAATACTAGAAGCCCCTGAGGCCAGGGGTGGGGGGTCTCAGGAACCCAATGAAACGTCTGATAACTGGGTTGCCTCTCCTTCTCTAGAGACAAGAAAGCAGGTGCCTCTGGGCTCAGCTGCCGCCCACACGGGACTATTTTTACCCTTTACCTTAGTGACAGTCAGCCTCCCCAGGCTCTGGAAGGGCCATCTGGGCAGTCTGACTCCCCGGGAGGGCCTGCCACCCAGAGGCTTGTACGCCCTGCTGTCTCTGCAGCTGTTTCTAAATGAACCTTTAGCCCTGTGGCATGGCTGGGCCATCAGGGTCAACATGACATCTCCCTGTCCCAGAACCAGAGGTTGGTAAAACCTCCCTAATTAGTACCAATGGCTGGATGGACCTATGGAAACTAAAATGTCTACATCCACAGCTTTAAAAAGAAATACTCTTTGTGTGTGTGATATTGGAGATTGAACTCAGGACTTCACATATGCTAGGTAAATGCTCTACCTCTGAACTACATACATCCCCAACCCACCTTACTTTTTAAAAATTTGAAACAGAGTCTTGCAAAGTTACCAAGGCTGACCTTGAACTTGTGATCCTCCTGCCTCGGCCCCTGAATAGTTGGGGTTACCGGTGTGTGCCACTGCACCTGGCTCATTCACAGATATTTAAAATTTTGTTCATATTTTAAACAAGGTTAATAAAGTGCTGTTTTCATGAGCTCTTTTAATGAAGAGGTAAGAATGATTTTACTTGCGTATTCCACAGTAACTCCCTCCACTCATTAGAAAAATGTAAATGGACATTCATCTTATGACAGTGTGCGGCAGGGATGCCCCAGAGCCCTTGAACAGAATTTATTTTGTGAAGTGGTTTCCAACAACCCCCCTCTGTTCCTGTTTACGCTGCTCATTTTTTGGCAAGCTCTTCCTGGAACAAGCAAAGGTTGCCTTCTGCCCAGTTCCTGTCCAAATGGTCTCACGTTTCACATTGGCAGAGGGGGAGTTAATGACATTTTACTGCATCTGGTTACAGAATTAAAATAAACACAAGTTGCCCTGTTCAGCCTTTGCCCCCAGTGAGATTGCCACTGCAGGCTCGGCCAGGCTTTGTGTATGGGGAGTGAGTATCCAAATTGGCAGGAGAAATGCATGTGAGGGGATCTCTTCAGGAGTGGAAAGAGGACAATGCAGGTTAAGTACCACAGAGTGGGGAACAGAGACAAGTATCACAGGTATAGTGGGACTTCATACCCCAACTTCCTGCCACCTGTCTGATGTGTGTTTTAGAGGATATTTGGATTTCAGTGAGCTGGGATCTATTTCTTACTCTACCCCTAGTTGGCTGTGTGATCTTGGACAGGTCAACCGTCCGTTAACCAAGGGAACTTGATCAGAAAATCTTCAGTAAGACATAATTTCCCCAAACAGATCAATGGGCCAAATGGGCCATAGTCTGCCTTCCCCAACTCCATGCACAGGAAACCATGAGGCAGAGTTCTCTCCTGGTCTGTCCCTAAAGTTCTACGTGGGTCTCATTACCCCAAATGAGGAGGTTGGCCACTCTCTGCGCTCCCCAAGCTGTGCTTCTTGGATCAGAAGTTCTGTGAGGCCCACAATAGAGGAGACACTGGCCTAGATAGGTTTCTTTACTGCAGGACCCCTCAGGGTGTTTAGTATGTGGGTATGTCTCATGAAGTCCCTATGGGAGATACAGGATGATACAGGAGATACTCGGGCTTTGATGATGGAACTTTTTCTTTCCCTAACACCAACTGATATTTTGTGCCACTATTCACCACTCAGCACAATTTGGGAAATCCCCTATAGTTTCCCTTAAGCCTCAGTTTCCTTCCCTGTAGAACAGGTACCTGCCTCCTAGACGTGGTGGAAAGGTTAAATCAGGTAAAGTCTGGAAACAGGCCTGGAGCAGCGCCTGGCACAGAGTAAGTGCTCAATAAATGCTGGTAGCGCTTATTTATAACACGATCCTTTCCTTTCCAGCTCTGACATTCTGGGCTTCCAACTGCAGTGTGTAATTAAACTCCAGAGCATCTGGCTTCCCAAGTTGAAAGAACAAGCTTGGAGGAATGAA